ATGTCCTAAAAAATGCTGCCAAGTTAAATTGACAAAGACTGAAGACCATAAAACAACTGTCTGTATGAACATTTTTGCCAATATAAACAGTCTCTCGGGTTAAACACGTCTTAATTCGCATAAAATGCTGTTGAAACTGAATGAGAACTGACTTTGTAATAGGGTGGCAGTTTCAGTCTGCAGATTGACGGCCTTTGCTTCCACCTACTGGGAAAAAAGGAATGAAACAGAAAATGGATTATTCAGTATTTCATGCATTACAGTATTTCTCAGTATAAACCAAAAACAGTTTTCTTCTGTTAGTGAGAAACACAGACAATGTGTTTATAAAGTTCCAAACGTTTATTTCTCTAATAGATCTTTAATTCACAAAAGTCTTCAGAATGCAGACTATAATAATCTGTATGGAAACTGTACACAGAGCAAGGCACTATACATTGGAGGGTTTAAAAACCAAACACTTCTCTCTAAGCTTTATTCTTCTTTTTCCAATCTTAAGTCACAAGACACTAAATGCATCATAAAAAAATGGCAAACTACACAACAAAGACATGGCCTCTGTGATGTCACACAACCCCATCCTCATATTCACTATACATTTTATTTGTTTATATTTCAGTTTGGGTAATTATATGTTTTTAAATCCTATTTCATTTCAATATAAATATAAATTATTTGTTCCACAGCAACATACAGTACCATACAGGGACAACAGAATGTGACGAGCAGGGTGACAGACCTGCTCCCAGAGACGGCTGCACTGCTGACAGTGTAAGGGCACTAGCAGTTGTATGTACTGTACATTTGTACAAACACCTTTAATGTGTGTGAATGACGCGTGCTTCTACTAACATTAGTCTTTATAGGACGTGATGATCAGCAGACTAGTTCCTCAGATTCCGTCTGACCATGTGTCAACAAAACCCCCCAAAAAACCAGCCTCAGTGGTCTCTCTTGGCCTTCAGCTCAGTTCAGTTAGAAAAGTCCTTTAGCTTTCTTTAAGTTGACCTGTTTCCAGACAGGTAAACTTCCATACTCCTCCCTGGTCATCTGCAGAGTTTTCTGTGGGACCAGTCATGCACAAATTCAGTAAAAGTACACAACCAGCAGCAAGAGTCAGACGAAAGTTAACCACACAATCAGGTCTGGACTGCAACACAGCCAGCCCTGCAAACAGCAACAGCAACACGCTCAAAACAAACACCACCAACATCTAGTGTCAGTAAAATAGTACCTTTGGTTAAGAGGTTCGGTTTTGGGATTAGTAAAACACAGACAGAGTCGTGATAAATAGAGCCTGTAGAGAGAAGATCATGCTAAACGTCTCAGAATAAGAAGTATTAAAAATGGTAGTAAATTTGGATTGTTTGTTAAGAGAGGGTGCTTTTCAACAAGTCCTACTCCATCCATGCTCATCTCAGACTCACCTCCCTGTACGGGCCTATACCCTGGAGGGTGGAACCAATACACTGACAATAAGTCCATTAAAGAAAAAAAGGGGGAAAAGATGTGATGACCAAACAGACAGTAGTGGAGGTAAAATGCACAGAAGATGAAAACAAAGAGTGAAGGTGTGAAAGAGTGGAGGACAGAGTACTGTATAAGAAGGAAATGTTCGAGTGTACGGAAAAGAAATCATTGGCGCCAATGTCTCAATTATTGGGGACACACACATTGACAATGAACACGAGAAGAAAAAAAAAGAAAAAAGAGTGTATATATATATATATATATATATATATATATACACAGTATATGTACAGGTTACTGTGTACAGTATGTGTATATATATACATACATACATATATACTGTATATTATTTAGACTCAACTCTGTACCGATTTTTAAAATACCACAATAATGACGTCGTAAAAAAAATTTAGAGATACTGAACATTTAGAGATACTGAAAATGACCAAATTTCTGGCCCAAACTAAAATTCAACAAAAATCTAATTTCAAAAGATTTTATACTGTGCATCTGCTCAAAGTTATATTTACTTTACTTCACAATTAACACAATATATAAATATATACAACACATTAAACTAAACTAAAGATAGATATGTGGTTTAAAGGATGTCAACATGTCTTAAATTTGAGTTAATATTGTGTCATCTATTCTGTCCTGGACATTCACTTCATCGTGTGCATACCTCGAAGTCCTCCTCAGACAGGTATGCTTCCAGACGCAGAGGGTCCACTCCCTCAGGAAGAGGTCGGTCCAGAAGGTCAGCCAGTGGATACGTGGTTTTACAGAGCCTGGCCAAGACGTCCTCCACCAGGATGATCTGGTTACACACCTCTGCCTCCTGAAGATGCGCACAGAACACTGGGCATCAACATTGGACTTTAACTGGATTTCAGGATCGACGGCTGCCTAAATTTTACCATTACAAATTAAACAACGTAGCTGGGAGTAAGGAGGAAAACCAAGGCATGAACTCACCCTCTCAGTGATCTCAGCAATGTCCTCTCTGTGCTCCCAGCTGGGGAACATGTTTGTAAATGTCAGTGGCTCCAGACCAGCGTGGATCAAATAGGATTTAGGAGGTTTCTTCTCATTCTTTTCTGGTGAAATAAGGTGAAAATAATTAAAATAACAGTTTAGCCCAACAGCAAAACTTTCCCAAAAATCTGGATTTGAGATTTTTTAACCCAAATCAAAACATGAAAAATAAATGAAATGAAAAAAATAAATGAATAAATAACAAAAACAAAGATTTTTTTTTCTGAACATAATAAAATCAAAGCATCCTAGCATCAATGGCCAACAGAACAAGTAGGATAGAAGTGCAGTTTCCAGTACTACCTCTGCAGTACTGCAGCACTGTCTCCATGGCACACTTCCTGTCACTGTCCCAGCGGATGCGGGCGGAGCCGGTGCTTTCACTGTCCTGAGGCCACCAGCCCTGCCACAGGTACACTTCATGATGGTTGTCTACCAGGAACAGGGCTGAGCGGAGGACAGGGGACAGACATGACTGATGATGTCACCACATCATACATGTTAACATTTTTCTGTACCATCCAACATGGAAAAAATGTTTTTTTTTTTGTGTTTTTTTTGTGAAATCTTAAACCTCAGGCAATATAATGTCACAGGGTTAGGGTTAGGATAATAAATAAAATATATTTACTTACTTCTATTTGTATATAATACCTAAAATAACATTTAGGTTCCACTAGCCTGGTCTGGACATCCCTTCAGCCTATTTTATATATAAATTTTATAAAATATTATTACTAGGATGTTATTTTGTACTTCATTAATGTGTTCAGTATACTTAACCTAGAGTATCTCCTGTTTGTGCCTTTAAGTGTAACAGTGTAAGTACATTTATTTTAGTACATTTTGACTTGGCCAAACTGTTAATCTATAATAAAATGTATTTATTTTATTTTATTTTCATTTTTTGTTTATCATGTGAAATATTTTTCGCTGTCAAATCTTTTGAGAAATAAAAAAATAATACTAATAAAATCATTAGATCCTGTGTATACCTGGTTGAGAGGCTGTGTACAGATCCTCTTGGAGGAACGGCATGGAGTTGACCTGCTCCAGGGTTTTGGCAGGATAAAGAAACTCCACAGCTGTGAATTCACCTGAGCTGCTGCTCAGCTGATAGAGACGAGGTGTGAAGTTGAACCTGCCTGGATCTGGAGGTCAGAAGGGGAAGAAACACTTCCACATAAGCAACCATTGAGAAAAAAAAACTACAGTTGTTCACAGTCTAATGGACTTCGCTCAGGTCGCTCTACCTTGCAGCATGCAGTCGTATGCCTTCCTGTCCTTCCGACCAAGGGCTTCCCAGAATCCCGCAGGCTCCGCCCCCTCATCGCATTCCTGAATGGCGACTTTGCTGCTGCTGTGGAGACCTGTCTCCAGAGGACAACTGTGGCAAGACACGGATGATGACGGATGATACAGCTATTAACTTTTTTTAGATTTTAAATGTAAACAAGACACTGTGTACAGTGTACAGAGGTCGGGGGTTGACATGAATGGATCTGCTCACTGTTCTTTGATTCTATTGGCTGCGGTGCGAGCCACAGAGCGCGTCTGTGTCTGAGACTTGCACCCGTGCCACAGATAGATGATGGCTTGGCTGACGCTCAGCAGCACCATGGAGACTCTGGAGCGCAGGCTGCTGCAGTGACACAGCACTTCCAGCAGGTGGCCCTCCACCTCCACCTCACCGAGCACACAGTAGAGATGCCAGTCGTCTAAGAAACGAAAAGTGCAAAGAGAGGAAGAGAGGGGTAAGAATGAACAAGGACGAACGGAGTTCAGATTAAAAACGGAGTTTTTAGCCATATTTAAAGTGTCTTACTCCTGGAGTTTTCCTCCTCCTCCTCTCTTTTCCCTGAGTGCACCACCATCCCTCCTTTAAAGCACTGCAGGAAGCACGGAGGTTCCTTCCCCTGCAGCACCTGCACCTGGAGCAAAACAAGAGGAAATTAAAGATTAGAAGATCTGCCGGAAAAACCAAGGTCTCGTGGTGTTTGTGTGTGTGTGTGTGAAGTACCTGTGCTCCTCTCTCCTCGTCCAGCTCCACCGTCATCAGTGCTGAAGTTCCTTTCTCACTCACAGTGGAGTTGCGACCCTGCCAGAAGAAGTAGCAGCATTTCTCCTTCCCAGGCCCTGCAGTCTTTATCTGCTCTGGGTTCTGTCTCCTTCCCACTGATGACAAACATGTTGTTAGATAAACAATGCAGGGAGATTGTGACCCACAGGGGTTGCACGTGTACAGTTTGAAAATGCTTTAAATAACTTGATGATGTGAGGTTATTTTTGACACTTCAGGAAGAGGGTTAAATAGCATAAAATACAGAACATAAAAACATTAGCATGCCATGTTAATTACAAGTAGGCTTCATAATAAGAATGATAAATACAGGAATGCACATAAATAAAGCTAAAACTTTCAATCCGATATCCAACAGCAGCTCCTAGTCTGGTGTACCTTATAATACCTAACTGTGGCAACGATCACGTGTGATCAGGTGTCAGACAATATGAAATGTCTGATGGCTCAGAAGCATAAGCATCATCATGTTTAAAACCAAATATATTGTACAGATAAATAATACTTAAGACAGAGATTGATGAGGTTACGAATATACAATAAGCCATTGTTTCCCAAAGACTGGGTCGTGACCCTCAGGTGGGTCGCAAGAGATTTCTTTTTGGGTCGTTTCGCATCATGTTTCCCTGGAGTTTACGAATAATGTCTATTGACTTGGGTCATGAAGGTTTGTGACTTTTAAAATATGGGTCCCCAGAAAAGAAAATTGGGATGATGTAAAGATGTAAAAATAAAACTCCAAACCAAGCCACTAACCTGCAGTGCTGACCATGTACTTCCATTTCACCACGTATGTGTCGCCTTCATGGAACTGACCGATGCTCTGCCGCGGCAGGCGGCTGTAGTCAAACTCCAGGATGTGCCACACCTCCACAGCCAAGGTGCTGATCTCATAACTTCTCCAATCGTCCGCCTCCACCAGACCGTAGCCCCGGCCCACGTTGAGCCCGTCCAGTATGGAGCAGACGGGACGCTGATGAACCGGCAGCATGAGGGAGGCACTGTACGCACGGGGATGGCCGAAGGTGGAAGAATCCTGTGTCGAGTATGAGAGTGATGTCAGAGATATCAACACAAGAGTAAAAAAATATACAAGTACACATAGGGAAGCTAAAAACACAAATACCTTATAACAGTGTTAAATTGATACCTTTAGCTCGGTGATGTTGTTGTTGTTGTTTTTTGACGGACTGGTTGTTTTTCTGGAGTCACTCCAGTCCAGAAATTTTTCTTTGAACAGAGTGGTTTCATTGTGTTGGGTCAGTCTGCCGAACACTGCCCAGTCGGGTCGACCCTGGCCCTTCCTGTAGGGGTGCATAGAGAGGGTAAGCGAGCCAGTACTTGATCACGCTGTTGAGAAGTAACTTGAGAAAAAGTCACGATCTCTGACATTTTCAAAAAAAAAACATGTTAATTGGAGACTTTTACTGTAACTGTCAACAATCACATTTATTTTGAGTTAAATTTAAAAAAAAAAGAAAATATTTTTTGCAAACTGTTTCACTTTTGGAAAACTAAACTAGTGTTTCTGAGTTGCAGCGTGTGTTTCCATACTTGGGTATGAGTGGGTTACACTCTCCGGGGTCAAGGGGGTTGATATCACAGTTGGTGTAGTCGAAGGTGCCGTTCCACAGGTGTTTGGCGAGCTGTAAGGCCACTTTTCTTTGTGCCAGTGTCACTTCCTTTCCGTGCCATATGTACATCTCACTGCCAAAGTCAAACACTAACACCTGCATGGCAACGCAGAGGGAGATTCCTTTTTTAATTAGATTTTTTTAAGCAGAAAAAAATGAAAATTCTACATATTCAAATTTTTTTTTGTCCACGACCTCCTTGGGTTTGAGCAAAGAACACCGAGGCATTTTGGCCCAGTAGTCGTCGTCTGGCACCAGTTTGTCCTCCATGAGGCGGTAGATGCAGTTTGTCTCTACGATGGCACTTTCGTACAGCTCATCTTCATCTGGCGATCCTGCAGCTGAGAAGGGAAACACTGTGTCATTTCGACATCTTGGAGCTTCAGGGAGGTTGATTCTAACCATGTCTGGTATGAATCCTTACACTGATAACTGGACTGCCCTCCCAGGATCTGCCAGAACTCTCTGAAGGAGTGGAAGTTTGTGCTGACACCTTCATCAATAAACTGGACATAGTCTGCACGGCAACCCAAGTCTTTTTTGCTCTGGATGAAATTGGCCAACTCTGACGCCTGGATATGAAGAAAAAAAAAAAATCAGAAAAATGTTATTCAATTATAATGTTGTATTATCTGTACGCTAAAATGTGACGTCACGTTACTCTGATAGTTTAATATTTGAAAAAATACATTATTTATAAGATATTTGTGTTTCTTTGTAGTTTCAGTTTTAACTGTTCCTAAATATGTGGGTCACTCCTTAGTGTCTGCTGAGTGGGAATGAGGTCAGCATTATGTTGAGCATTTCCAAGGTCATTATCAGCTTGGCCTTCAAACAATAGCCATGGTTTGTGTCAGTTTACTGCCACTCTGTTATGGAAACAGACTCTACTTCTACACACGCACATTTTCCTGTCCCACACAGCTGTGTTTACATCCTGCATGTGCAATTATTGGCAACATCCTCACGATACCTGTGTTATTAAGGTGTTTTTAAGGTGGCAAACCTTGTTTCTTTCAATGATGTTGGCGAACTCTCCGGTCCAGATGAAACAGTGGTGCGGTGCTATGAGCAGGAAACAATCCCCGCTGTTCAGGGAGGAAACTCTGGGTTCCACTAGCCTGGTCTGGACATGCCTTCGGCCTGGTTTTAAACACAAACACACAGACAGGAGGTTCATTAATGACAGCTCCAATTAACGCTGTCAGCAGGTCTGGGTTATTACAGTATAGGAGCCACAGAACTTCACAGCCAGTACGTGTGTGCATTTCCTTCGTCGAGGCGACAGATGTTTACCATAAAGCTGTTGCTGAAGCCATGTTGACATGTTGTCACTGAAAATGTGGCTGTTGGTTGAGACGCTTGACAAACATGACAACATCATGCAAACACTGAAGACATTTTGAACCAATTCTTCATTAAAACATTAAAAAGTTATTTTAGCTATTAAGCTAAAATATGCTATCTTTAAGCAACTTGTAGCTGATGGATGTAGTGCAGTAGTTAACGACTGTTGTCATGAACTACTGCGTTGACCATTAAGTGACCATGGCTTCATGGTCAACATAAAGGAGCTTATGGAACCATATTAAATTAATTTAAGTTGGTCTATTTTATTTAACAAATTTAACCAGTTAGAGTTTACTTTTTTTTAATGGTAACAAGATGTAAAAATATGTTCTTTTTGGAATTGTTTTAATTCTAAAAAGATTCTCTATTCTATTTTTAGAACCTGTGGAGTTCAAAGTGACACAATCGTATGATCCCGCCTTCTGTGCAAAAGGGTGTCACTATGGGTTCCACCAAGTTCCTACTACCAGGGAGGGGGGCACAAAGATGAGCCTCTGGTTAGAATTAGGTTTGTTATGTTGGGTCCAGGTTGTTATTCCAGGTCATCAGAAACTGTCTGGTGACACCCTGAGAAAAAAAACCATCACCCCTTCCCATTACCCTCCTCCACCAGGTCCAAATCCATGGTGTAGTGGATTTGCTCTGGATTACACACAATGTGGTTTGGAAGAAAGGATCAGCTCAGGATAACATGAGAAGACCTGGGAAGAATGATTTAGGGGCCGCAGCTGTCACCGCCACACTTGTGGAGGAGGAGCAGGGACACAGAAATAGACCGAGTCTCATCTCCTCATTTAGATTTACTCTGGAAATGTCAGCAGCAAGCAGCATCCTGCAGGCTGTTGTCTTCAACAGTATCTGACTGCTTTCCTGCCTCAGCTGAGGATACCGTGTGTTTAGATAAAAACTGGGGCTAAAGGTCATCTGAACGAAATTTCAGGTTTTTAAATCATTCATACATTTTCATTCCGACATAAATCAGCTTGCAGCTGTTTCACAGGACATAGATCTGACTGCAGAGCTAGACATTCAAAACAATCCTTCAAGAACAAAAAACACAATACAGTCTTCTAACTTTAGGATTACTGCACTCAAACCTGACAGCTGAACATCCCTGCTGCTGCTCCTAATCCACGAGCAACAGTCTGTGTTGAGAAGATCTGTGCATTCAACTGACCTTTGACCTGCAGGAGCATAAGCTTCTTGTAAGGTACGGCACAGTTGTTGGACATTTGTTCAGAGATGTTGACACTGCGCAGGTTGACATTGCTGAAGTTCTCTTTGCTGGCCAGACCGGCCAGAGCCACTTCAGACAGACCAGAGCTCTTATTCACTGCAATAAAGAGGAGAGGAGAGAAGCAGGTCAGAAAGACGTTATATTTTCTTGAAGTACAAGAAAAAAATATAAACCCGTGACCTCTCATCAGTCTTTGTGTGACTACAGAAAACGTGGTGTCAGATACAAAGACGAAGGAAATTATCAGTTCAAAAACACAACTATCTCTGAGGACAATAACAGGAAACTGACTCCGGTCAACCACCTGATGTTAGATGTAGGTCAGAGCGAGTCTCAAAACAATTTAGGTCATAAATATTGAGGCAGTGATCAAACACACAGTATCAGACCAAACCAGAATGTTCACGTCTGTAACCTGGCCAACACAGCTGCAGAACTCCTAAGAAAACATGACTAAAGAATGAACAAAATGTTGACCAGCACTTGATCAAAAGTGTCTTGTGCAGTTTTATAGGACACTGACACATCTGCAGCCCGACTCTACGTAACCTGAACTTAAAATACTGAACACATAAGCATAAAACATGATAATCTTGAACATGAAGGTACCATAGATGTCTTGGAACATTATCCAATTTCACCAAGGGCGTTAATTGGAATGGAAGTAAAAAAAACATCCACGAACTGATATGCTAACTGATATGCTAACTGATATGCTAACTGATATGCTAACTGATATGCTAACTGATATGCTAACTGATATGCTAACTGATATGCTAACTGATATGCTAACTGAATTTCTAATGTATGCACATATATATTAGTCAAACACAAGTCTGTCTCCTCTTTCCTCTCACTCACTTTTCTCAGCCTTCATCCTCTTGCTCTCCAGCAAACCCACGTTGAGCCTCTGCTCCGTGTACTCGTGTCTGATGTCCTCTCTGGCAGCGAGCATCTTCAGAGGGTTCCTGGAGGCCTGCACGTTTCTGGCCGGGCGCACAGCTCTCTTGTGTTGTTCCATCTCCGACGTCAGCCTGCCAGAGATCAGATGTGGAATGTCACTAACGGCAAAATTGTTGTCCTAAAAACCTCAACAAGGGAATTTACTAACTGCTTACTTTGGCACCTGTGGACCGAATATGGCATCGAAATCTTCATCTATGTCCACTGTGGTTTTGGCTGCGGGGAGCTCCTCCACTTGGCTGAAGAACTTAGTAAAGGTTTCATCTTCAAGAGTCATTACTTCTTTCACCTTTTTCTGTGTCACTGTAATGGTGGCCTCTGGAAGTCCAGACCCTAAGTAACGGATAAGACATGGTTTCTTTTATGCTTTGATTTAAAAATGTCCTGCTGACCACAGCAGATAACTGTCAAATAACGTCTCCGATACTTGTTCACGTTTAAAAAGGCCAAGATGATATTTTTTCTCCTCTCTTCCTACACAGTGAACTTTACACAAAACTGTTTATTCACACTCCCTCACTCTCTTCATACTTCATCCTCCTGTTCCTGAGCCAAGCACACTACCGGCCTCTGGTTTAGATTGATTTTCACAGTTTTTATCATATCAAGATGATATTTTTGCTGATGTTTTTATCAAAACCTGGTGCATGCATAAATATGAATGTCATAAATTCCCTGTAGAGGATTTAGTGATGCAGCTGTTGATGAAAATAAGCAGTCTAAAAGAGCTGCAGCCTTATCTTTTACAGTGTACGGAGACAAAACAATACAAGTATCAATGTGTTGATTCAGACCACGACACACTCTGTTTCTGTAGGAAAATGAACGCCCTCTCTCCACCCTTTAATAAGAATGTGTGTGTCCGTGTGTGTGTGTATGAAACCATAACAAAACTGTATAAAGATGGCGTCATATTTGAATATGTGTCCTGGTAGAAAACGATGCTCTAACATAATGTGTCCCCAGTGTTTTTTAAGCCACGACACATATTGACAATGCTGATATACTGGCAGGAATTGAAGAAAGACACTCACGAAGACCTTCTTCAACAGTTCTGATTATGATTTTCAGTAGTTTTCATAGCCATCTGTTGTCACCTAGCAGAAGAGTATTTAATTGTTCTGCCTTTTTTGCACACCTGATGATCCCTCTCTTGCGGCACAGTGTTTGGGAATCACTGCTCTAACCTAGATGTGTACAGTACATAACTGACCTTTACTGTTGAGTTTGCCAAGAAATGACTCCAACTGATCAAGCTTTTTGTCCGACTCCAGGTTCAGATCTGGTATGGCCTTAATCTCTGCAAACACACACACACACAGACACACACGCAGACACAGCTGTTAGAAGCATAAATCTAAGGTGGTTATCACAATGATCTCACCCTGGACACGCAGGCACACCGAGCCACGCTGATGCTGTTGTTATTTTTACAAAAAAATGTGTTTGATGTACAGTCGCATACCATTACAATGACGTTCACATGAAGAGTTACCACCATGTGGTGAGTAGACTCATGCACATCCAAAGCTAAAGCTGCCTCTAAGAGTCCTGTCCTTTTTTTTCAACCTAATGGAATTGCCACTCTGACAAGAGCCAAACTGATGTTGATGAAAGTTGCGAAGGGTGTCGAAAATGATGAAATGTATGAACGATGCATAGTGATTTAAAAAGCGGAAAACACCTTCAGTGTCAGACATCTCCTCCGAGTCTTTTGGAAGAGAAGGAAAAGTCATTAGTTACATTGTGTGGAAAATAAGACCAGGTGCAGCAAAGAGTCAGTTTTTGTTTTGTTTTTTAAATCTCAAGTGGAATTTGATTAGGAGCTCTGGTTTACATGTAGGAATTTAATGAACTCATACGTCAAGTGTTGTAGATCAAACTGCATAAGCAGCTAGGTAAATCATTACAATTAAAGTTTCTTAAACACCGTGGCATTAAAGCCAATACTTAACAACATAAGTTACAAGATTAGGGACTGACCTTCCTGTGGTTTGCACATTGCAGGGCTGTTGTGTTTAGGTTTTGATGGCACTACAGACTGTAGGGCAGTGGGTGAGGCCAGACCTGGAGATGACACAGACATCCACCTCAGCACAAAATAAGCATCACTTTATAACAGGAACACAGTATAAAGTCATTTCCATATAGCAGTGATGGCGTGTTCCAGTTCTGCAGCCTCTAAATGTGGCTTCTGCACTCAGACCTTTAAGAAACCACATTTCTAAAAGCATTTTTGTTCACACCGGAGTCAGAAATTAATAGGAATTTGGGACGAGGATTTATTACAAAAATGTGTTTAATATACAGGGCCACACTCTTTTCCTAAAAAGCTCTCCAGGACGATTTCAGGTGAAAAGCTAATTCTAATCCTTTATTCACCTGCATTGAAAGTGTTCTTTTCTACAGCTGTTCCTTTCATTCTGTACCAGACACAGGAGAGAAGGACATTTGTCCTTAGGCTCTACGTCATGAACAGGGTCTAGGATATACAAAAAAGGAATGTTTCCAGTTAGGTCAAAGTCTAAATACTTCACCTATGTTAGAGCCCAGATATAGCTAAGTAAGGTTGCTTAAAGAAAAACATTTAAGTTTTTAAAATATGCTAACCTAGATAACTAGTTTACACACACACACCTACAAACACAACAATAATAAAATATGGTCATAGCTGCTGTCTGATGTCTGAAATGTTGGACAGTCATTACTGGTCATGTGGCTCTGTCTCCACCACGTTGTATTTACCATGATTTGGTCAAAACCACTGATTTCCCAAAAGACAAAATAAACCTTTCGTCATCTGCAGAGGTAATAGGAAAAAAATTCCAATCATTAAATCATTTTCTGCCTGAGCAGATTCCTTTGCACTGCTACTCTGCTCTGATACATCTGGCTCTGGTGGAGGGGAAAAAGGGGAAACTGTTTTTCCACAAGTTGCTAATCGCACTTGGGGCTTTTGAGGATTGCGGGAAGGAAGCTGAGATTTACTTCACTGTGGTTTGAGGACTGAATGGATTACAGCATGTCAGCATCTGCCCATTAGTGGTGGTGGAACGTACAGCACGTGTGTAGGGTTCGCCCTCTGACCTTTTTTCACCATGCGCGCAGCAACGGTGAATTGGGTGGAGTCGTTGGCAGCTCTGTGACCTTTGATCTTCCAGGCCTCTTCCTGGGACACAATCAGCTGCTTCCTCTCCTGGATGGACATGTGGGCCTCGATCCCCTGGTCTATCTCCATCTCAGCCTCAGCCAGTTTCTGAGAAAAGACAGACATGTAATACAGTACACGTATGTGATACGGCCTCTAATTGTCACAACGAATGCATTCCAGAAACCACTGACCACCACCAGGCTCCAGAGGACAAACAACAACGACGGCGGACTATAGGATTACACTTATGATTTTGACAGACACTTAAAAACAAAACCGCATCCAAAATTCAATGCTCTTTAAATCAGTGCCACATTGGGGTAAAAATTACAGAAGCAACACAGCAATAACCAAGATGATGAGGATGGAGAGTGAACTATACAATAAATATAATATAACAATAAACTTTTTTGAAGCTGCAGCAGCTGCAGGTCAATATTCCTGGGCATTTAAACAGACTTAAAGATGCAATGCACAGAAATATTTTATAATAAAACATTCAGAGGAATCTGAAAATTAATGTTTGCATTCTGAAATTAAGAAGAAAAATTCTTAAGCTAAAAAAAATTACATATATTTGACAGTGGAGATACCACATCAAAACTCAAGCAGAACACCATCAACCACAACCACAAAAACACCAGCACTGAGATCAACCATCAATACAACACACACACACACACACACTCACACACACACACACTCACAGTGGTGTTCATTCTTGTAAATTGATTAGAAATTTGATTACAAAATATTTTTTCTTCCCTCAATCAAAACATGTATTTACATGCATCACGTAACACCACGGTGCATGCGTACGTGAATGTGTGTGTGTTTGGCCTTGCACTCTGGCCTTACCCACAGCTGGTCAGACACAGCCAGCTCATCGATCATCATCCCTGTGTCCAGGTCCTATAGACAAGCAACCGGCAAGTGAGATGGGCCCCCTAGTGTTAACCATGCTAAGTGGTAAATTAGGGGCTAATGGGGGAAAAACTGTTTACTAAAAAATGTTTACTATGAAGGGCTGCGGTTTCTATAATAATCCAGTTCAATGCAAGATAAACTGGTTTCTTAGAGTTTAACTGTCCTGAGTTGTTTTTCACTCTCTTGTTTATCCAACAACACATAGGGATCTGTTTGACAGAAATATTTGCTACAGAAAATACAGTGGAGTGGGATTCTTCATTAGGCTCCATTATCTGTCTCTATACAATACAATACAATAATACAAGAACACTGAATTATTTTACCAGATAAAATTCTAAACTGTGCAGAATGGCTGTATAACGTCTCTTGTTTACAAATTCATCAGAGCTCGAAGATAAAACTGTCTGACAGTAGCTCCACTTAAAGCCTGGAATTATGGGTAAAACAAGCTCTGAAATGCATCTGGGAACCAACACAGCAGTGAACACGTCTAAACAGTACATGGAGTAAGAAAAAACTCAACATGCAGAAGATGAGATGACATTTATTTATTCATTATAAAGGTTGAAGGAATAGAAGCAGAGTTAAAGTCAGACAGAAGAACAAAAAGTGACACAAACATGAAAGTGAAAGGAAAGAAAAAGCTGCAGCCATGCAACGTCGAACACTGGAGCTGTGCTCCGCTCTGAACACTTGGTCAGACAGGATTAGGAACCAATGTTTGAATGGAAACTACAAAATATTCTTGATTTTAATAATACATAATAGTAAGGAGTAATTAACTCATTATAGGTTTAATTAGTCCAACTACAAAAATAAATACTTAATAATTTCTCATGCAAAACAAATGCCTCAAATCCATGTTTGTTTCAGCCAGTTTAGAGTAGAAAACAAATGTTGTTTTAATTGTTTGTTTTTTTTCCTACTGAAATGCCACATGCACATTTATTTCTAGTAGGAAAATGAATAAAACACCCAAAAAGAAATGTTATTAATCTGGCTAAAACTCTTTTTTTAGTGAGTGACTGTGATCATGAGGTACTGCCAGCATCACATTTCTATATCTATGAACCAACAGAACTAGGCAAAACGAAAATGACGCTGTTATTTAAAAAAAATTACTGTTAATTAGAGAGTGAAAACCGCAACATGCAAAGACGGTTTATAAGACAGGACAAAGACAGGACACAACCTCTCTGTTCAGAGATGTTCCTCATTCATATGTAGGTCTATTCTCTACAGAATCTCAGCAGTTCTAGTGCTGCTTTTTTCAAAGATATTTAAAAGTCGTAAAGACGGACAAACAGACATCTGCCTGTCTGTGATTGTGAGTCAAGAGTGAGTGTGACGTTCAGGTGTTTACCTTCTTCTTTAAGCTCTGCTCCAGATCCCACAGCTGAGCTTCCTGCTCGCTGAGAGCGGCGCTCACCGCTTCCTGTTTCTTATTAATCCTGTTCCTCCAGTCGTCCTCGCCGCTCTTCTTCAATAGGGCTACTCTAGATGGTCACAAACGGAAAACAACTCTGTTTAATAGGCAATTTACTGGGGTCAACATTCAACTTGATAGTCACCAATTGTCAGACAGACTTCCATATAAATCAAGCTACTGTATTTGTCTACCTGCTTGTTTTACGTTGTGTCTCATGTTACAGGTTTATTTCTAAATGGAAACACAAGGCTAGTGGAAGTGAAACGAAAACCATATTTTGCAGGACAAAAAATGTATCTGCGCACAGTTAAACATCAATGCTGCTGTCACCACAGTGAAGCTGACAAACAGCAGGGGTAGAAAAGACAACAGACACTGAGCAGATCCAGAGGATCAGGGTTGTAAACAACACTTAGAGATGTGAAGTCAAAATAAATTAAGATTACAAGAGTGACAAGTAGATAAAATAAATTCTGTTTTTTTTTAACTACGATCTACAGATATTTTTATGTGATTCAGAGCCAACGGGTGACAAATGGAGATGGAGTAAAATGAAGGCGGAGGTCAAGCCACTCTGTGACCTGTGCTGCCTCCAGGGGACTTTTCCCAACGTCAGAATCAAACTAACACTGAACAGGCGAAGGTCAGACGGAACTGAGAAACAAATCCTAGGTCTAACGAAATTCTTTGAACAGAAAGAGGACGGGAATTCTTTGAAGCCAAGTTCTCAGGTCAACTGTGGGAGAACGAGAGACACGGGACGGCCGAGCAGTAATGTGTGTGGGCAACGGGAGAGTGCACGGAGAGTTCAACAAGCAGACGGGAACACACTCCACAGTCTGTTGTGTCCCCGATCCATTTAGAGGGATCAATACTAACACAGCATGTGACAATGGATCTGACTCATCTGTTAGTCCGTTCAATATCCGGAACATTCATTGTGACTTCAGTATCGGTCATTAAAACTAGGGGTCATTTTTAGACCCTATCAATAGTCGTTAACTGCCCTGCACGCAAATGCTTGGCTGCCACCACTGGAGGCATGAAACAGTATTTAGTTAGAAAAACTGCTGACAACAACATTCATTCCTTTTGACAAGTACTGCTTACTGTATCCTTGTACTGTATCACCCTGTGAGCTGTTGTAGAATGACTGCTACATCGCATGCCTGTGAGAAAATGCTCTATTTGCATGATTACACAGCAGAAATGTGTCATAATAACATCATCCCTCTGTAGAAAACAGACAAAACTATTTCATAGAAAATTATAAGGCAGACTCTGCACGTCTACATGACTACATACATTCCTTTGTTTTTGTGATTACTTAAACCTCAGTAAAAAAAACTATATATACAGTTATTATACTTACTAACTACAGTTAGTAGGTAAAATATTTTGTTTATTGACAATTGAGATAAATAGACAGAATATGATGTGCAGGGCTGCTCAGGAAATAGTTATAATAATCTTATCACATTAACCTAAACCTTTATGTTTTTTTTTTAATATATTAATTTAGGAGCAAATAAACTGACCTTGGAGACCTCTTAGAAGCCTGTGAGCCTCACCTTTCTCTGATGGACATGTGTCTGGCCGACATCATCTTGCTCAGTTCTTCACCTTCCTCAGCCTGAGTGTTCGGCCCGCTCTCTGCGAGTGTGTCCGCTGCTGTGGGCTTACTCAGTGCACTGGTGAAATCAGCTGCGGCTGTGGACGTTGGCTCTACAGTTGGCTCCGGTATCTCTGTGAACACGAGCGGTCAAGCATGAACAACAAAAATGGAAATAGGACGAAGGAGAACTTGACAAAAACGTGGATGATTGTAGTTTGATTAAGTCAGGAAAGAGGTGATTTATGAAACAATATAAACCAACAAACAATATAAACTTTATTTAAGTAAAACCAATTCAGTTTTAGACTCTCAACATCAGAGCAGATGTAAATAAAACAAAAAAAAATCAGAGTTTTAAAATAGAAAGCAGATAAAAAGGTGCTGTTCTGACCTCCACTGGTGCTCCTCTGGCTGTTGCTGCAGTGGCCATCCTCCCTCTGCAGACACATGTGACTCTCTAGGCTCTGCCCAGCTGCCTCTCTCCTCTCTCTGGACAGCCGCTGTGTCACCATCTGCACCTCCTCTTCCTCCCACCTCCTTTGTTTTCCTGTCTGGGGCTGGCACGGAGCCTCCTGCCTGACCTGCCCGTCCGGAGAGGGGATCTTCCTTTTCCCTCCTCCCACATCCACTTCATCCTCTCTCGGGGGGAGGTTCCTGTGTTTCTGGTGGTTAGCGGTTTCTTGGAGGTAAGTGAAGACTGGAATCTCTGTTTGGCTAGTGTGTGGAGGTTTTTCAGAGCTGGGGGGAAAATGCTCCGCCCGGGCTGGTGCTCTGGTGATGTGGATGTCCCCGGCGTGGTCCGAGGACACAGTGCCCCCTGCTCTCAAAGCGGAGGAGGAGGGGGAAGGAGAATGGAGGTGTGTGTGAGAGCCCGTGCCATTCTGAAGCTGTGTGGAAGGAAGAGAAACACAGACGGAGGAAACAGAAGTTTACCACGTAGGCTGAGGAAGGAATACTGAAAAATCCAACACACAGATACAGTAATTCGCTGACTAATGAGTGACTGTCTGACTCCCAATGCACTTCCTGTGCATCAAGGCAGCCTTTCACAAAGCCATGCTGACAGCACTGCCTTCGCAAAAAAAAAGGAAAAGAACTTCAGCCAGAAAAACTCAGCATTTCTGAAATGAATAAACTAAGAACCAACCATGTATCTGTGCCCAGTAAGAGAAGAACAGCAACAATATGCCTCCATTGGACAGAAGAAAAGTGCAAATAAAACCCAGTCCTTTAACGTTTTCCTTTTTCTGTTTCTCTGTTAAGTATTCATTCCCACATTTATAGCTTTTTATGAGAAAAGATCACTGAGAGAAGACAAACTTCCTGCTCTTCACCTCCTCCACCACGGAGTACTGTCTTGTGCAAAGCGCCTCTTTATTGACACGATGGAGAGGATGATGAAGAGCTGACTGGGTGTTTTATCAGAAGCTTTAGCCATGCACTTTACAGTCATGATGACATCACACAGCAGCAGAGAAGAGCCACAAATGGGAAGCCACAAAGTCACATGTGATTGTGATGTTGATTCCAAAAAAGCAGCCATTTCCCAGAAGGATGCTTCACAATGCATCAGCCTTCATCGTCCCAGGCAGGTGCATGGGATCATACAGGAGGAAGCTTACTGTGAAGTGATCTACTGGGCTGTCACACAGATCCTGTTCATCTTTCATGTCTATATCTGACGAGTCCTGGAGTGGAAACATGGTCCAAGTAGGTTTTGCTTTGTTTTGAACAGCTTTATCTTTTTTTATTTTATGGTAAAATAATTTTGTTATTCAAGAAATTAGTTTTTCTATATTGTCTCGTTCCAGATATTTACTCTCTTCATTTCCTGTTAAGTTAGTTATTGTCTTGATTTCTCCTACTCCATTTCCTAACCACTCTTCTTATCCTGATTTGAAATGTAATGGTCCAGATAAAAAACAACATCATAAATTGTCTGAAATAGTACAGTTGATATAACGCTTTCACGTATTCACAGCACCATCTACAGGGTGTAACTCCTCTTCCTCCCCTGTAGATGGTGCTGTGAATACATGTACCTCTCTGTGTGAATTAATACCAAAATTGATCTAATATTAAAAACAAAAATTATTAATTTTCCTGGAAAAAAACAACAATAAAATGACATTTGCTTTCCTTAGTAATGACCACAAACAAAACAGTAAAAGGAAGTGTGACATCAATTATTTATATGTAACAATATGTCATTCACTTTATCTTCCTGCTCTCTCACCTGCTCCATATCGCCCAATGTGATTGGCTGCGTTTGGTAGCGAGCGTTGGCCCTGCGGTGGCGTGTGTCCCCTCTGGTGCGGGTAACTCTGGATGGAGGCTGCGCCAGCCGGTTGAAGAGTGCCATCTTCTCTGCCAGACTAAGAGTGCAGAGGTCAGGCTCCTCCTGACCCTCAATCTTGTCCTTTACTTCCATGGCAATCACTGGCTTAGAGACAGGAGTCTCCTGTGTTTCCGGAACAGGGCGTGGCTCCTGTACCATCTCTTTGTAGATGGCGCTCTGCTGCGAGGACGCCTGTAGGCTGAGTTGTGGAAAAAGATGTAGAACCAAATGTGAAATGTGATGTAAGATAAGAAACCATGCAAGTAAGAGTCACATGTGCGTGGTGATGTTAATCTGATGGAAAATTACACATGCAGCAGGCACAGCCAGAAGAAGTAGGAAAAATATACAACAATTAAAAGCCTCCATGGCTTTAGTCAGACATGTAGTTTCATCTAAATACACATGAGGGCACAAAAGAAAAACTCACTGCAGATCAGGCAGTGATGAACAAGTGCTAATGTTAGTCACACTCTTTGGAACGGCATCAGTTTGCACACTGCTGGTCATGCATGGACCAGGTACCTGTCTGCTGGGACAGTGCTGTAAACTAGTGTGGGACTAGGGTTTCGGGCTACAGCTGTGAGAACAGTTTCCACTTGTGGCACATGATAAGGGACACTACAGTGGAGGAAGAGGAGGAGGAAGAGACACCGTTGATAGAGAAAGACACACAGGGAATGAAGGTGGATCACAGGTGACAGAGAGGATTATAAAGATGGAAATAAGGCATATGAAACCATCTACAAATCATAATGCAGTATGTTTGTATATTTATGCAAGTGCAAAAATGTGTGTTTAAAATTAGACCTGAGTAATTCAAACATCAGAAAAAATGATTTTGTCAGAAGAAAATGCATGTCCTGTGTAACCTAGAAACTTACGTCGCAGCTATGACCACTTCCTCAGTGGTGACAGGCTGAGTCCTGGAGCGGTCTTGCGCCCGTCTCAGTCTTCTGTCCACAGCTGCATTTCTGGATCGCAGTTTGGGCGGTCCACCATCAATGCTCTTCTCGAGTTCCTGTATGAGAACAAGTCAGTCACCTTAACCTTAGCCATCAGACAGCAATCTCCTGACCAAGTAGAGCCCTCTCAGAATAATTAGTTATTAATCCAGTGATTCTCCAGAGCTACTACTTTTTTATAAGTTGTTACAATTTGTATAGATATGAGTTTAAGAATTGCTGTCCTAACACGGAGCAAATCTTCACAGTGACCACAGAATTGTAGAAAAGACTGTGTCAGGCTGCGACTTTAATGGGAATCATATTCCCTTTGTGCAGAGACCGCACAGATGCTGAAGGAATGAGGAAAAACAGCCGACGGCTGACGCTCACCCTGAAGAGAGAGCGCTTGGCTGCAACACTCAGCTTGGCGCGTTCGTCCAGCTTCTCTTCATCAGCTGCAGAGACAACACACCAAACAATGGACGCTCATTACATAATGGATGCTGGTCACTCAGCAGGAGCCCAAAATGCTTATGGGAAGTAAGTGTAGTTTTAAAGTGAGGGGAAGAGACTTGGAACTGACCTATAATTTCTGGTAATACGCTTTCTTAATTAAAAACACAAGACAGTGTGAGAACTCGAAAGTATCATCTAAGTTAAGTGAGGCTGTAAACGTTGCTATGCCAAACGTTACATACTGTACAACTGGTTTCTTTCGCTTAAAAAACCTGCTTACTCTCCTGCCCAAGTGCCTATGTATGGATTTTTAGCCAGGAAAACATCTACTGGTACAAAGTACTGATTATGATTATTGTACAAAAATTAGAGCCTGACTGAAATCTATTTGTTGGACTTAAAGTCCAAAGAGAAAAACTGAGATGTACAGGTGGAGAAAACAGAGTATCAAGAAACCATTTTAAATATGTTGTTACTTGTACAGTAACACAAGCCTCAGATCTGACTAAGAACAATAACGACCACCTATAAAACCTGTGGAAAAGACATTTTTCCACAGGTTTCCACCACTATCATTGTCTGGCACGAACACTGGAAGCAAAACAGAACCTCAAAAGCTTCAGTGTGACTGATGTTAGTGGAGAAACGTAAATGCTACACAGGTGTGAGAGACACTGCCCTATAGTAACAGTCAACACTGTCTGTGCTGGACACGTGTCATGACATCACCAAACAACTATTCCCTCTGACTGAGGCTGCCCCCTCTACTGTATTTCACTTCAGTCTGTTTGCTCATGAGAAGCAGGTGAGAGGCTTCCACCGGTCACTGCTGCACTGCTACTGTGGAAACACCCAGTGATTCTGTAAGAGCTATAGATAAACACACAGGACTTTAAATCTAAAAGTCAGGAGAAACTAAATGTTATGCTCAAACAATTAACGCTCCCTACACAAAGCTGCCTTGTTCTGATTTCAACACCACTGAACATTACATAACAGATATTCTAAAGACATAATCCCATTAGCCAGACACAGGGTACAGTAATTATTACTATTCTTTAGCAAATGCTTAATTCATATTTAAAATATATTTTGCTGTATCTTATGACTTCACTTATGTTCTGAAAGAAACTCTCAACATTTTGAGGTAAACTAATGTATTTATATATATATTTTTCCATCTAAATAATTCCACACTATGATCAGTCAATATTTAACCAAGTGTGAAGCACCCTCATCCACGTTTGTTATTCCTATTCTAGCAATATACAGATTTTTTGGTCATATTTAGAGTTGTTTATTAATTCAAATAATCACGATTCATCAATTAACAGCTGCCCTATGATTAATCAGATTACATTTTTAATCATTTCACAGGCAAACAGAGAGGGATCAGCAAGTACTCACCATCAGTTGAAGCAAATTCTGAACTCACAAAGGACCTTCAGAAGAAAAAAAAAGAAAAAAAAGACAGTATTTAATCCTTCAATATCCATGAAACAATGTGGAAAAAATATTAGTAATAATAGGGAGCAGTCACGGACAGGAATGAAAGGATTTCAAGAGAGCAATAGGAAGAAGAGACAGCAGTTGTTAAAGCAGGCGGTGGTTGTACGGAGCAGATCCAGCAGCGAGCGTAAGGAGACGACGTGGAAGAGGTAAAACAGTGAGCAGACGATTAGACGGAATTATGGAAGTCGGACTAGTTCAATGGTACAGGAAATGCAAGTGATTACCAACAAAAACCACTTATGGTCACATGTGATGACCACCGCCATGAACCAAACCTTAATACCACCTTAATAAAAAAAAACATATGATGCTTTGTGTACATGCATGTAACATGGCCTACAGTGAACTATAATGTGTCCACTGTGATAATATTATGTTACTTGTACAGCACATACTATGTAGCTGTGCTGTAGATACCACAGCACAGGTGGTAATAAGTGATCAGAAACAACATGTAGTAAAATAAAAAAAAATGTTGTGGTCAATTTTTATCATGTATGATCATTTGGACAGAATGCAGCACACCTCACTCTCAGCCATGCTGTGCAGTACCTATCTGTCTCCATGTGTTCAGCAGAGCGAACGGGCTGAGTCCTAAACCTTTCTGAGGTCTTTCTACTCCCCCCGGGGGAGTTATACTGCCCAGGTCTGCACCCCCTGTTTTTCTCCTCTCTCCATGGAGCATCAGAATCCAAGTGTCCCCCGTTCCCCCTAAATTCACCGAGGGCACCCATGAAGAGAGAAGGCAGAGTTTAGGCAGTGAGAGATCCAGAGGGATTAATATAAAGATGGGTGTGTGTTTCACAGAGACGCAGCGTTACACATGCTTTAAAAAACCAGGAGGACTGATCAAGGGTCAGAGCATGTCAGTGACTATTGGCTGTTGGTCCTAAGTTAGTAACAGAAAACCTCCAAACTACACTGTTTAGAGTTAGATCATATTGTTAGAGTTTTTAGAATAAATATACACCCCATCAAATAGAATGGTGCATGAAGTTTAAGGCTTCGTGTATAGGATTTAGTGGAACCTTTTATCAAGGTTGATTTGTACTTATAGGTGACAGTCAACATTTCTGCATTTGTTTGCCATAAAAAAAGAAACGTCTCTTTTTCACTCATGACATATGCATACATATGTCTACTGAAAGTTTAGAAAAATCCACCAAATCCACAACACTAAACCTTAAACTTAACACCAGAGGTTGTTGTTTGTTAGTTGGTAGAACTGCTGTTAGCTGATGAGCACTGGCGTGAAAGCCAAAAAACAGGCAGTGGAGCTGGAACATTTTACTGCCACCTACAGCTCATTCCTACGCCTTGTTGGAGGCGTAGTCGTGCTCTCCATGTAGGAGTGTCTCAGCTGAGCCACAGACACCCGGCAGTCATGGTGACTGTCTCCGTTACTGACGCCTTCAGCCTTCGGGTCATGGTACTGGGTCTGTGGGTGTGGGTGTGAAACCGCAACATCTGACAAAGATCGACTGCAGCCCGCGTTGGAGGCGGAGCTTCCTGGAGCAGCGTGTGTCGTTCTGTGCTGGCCAGGACTTGCAGCTGCCCCTTGATGCATATAGGGGGCGCTCTCCCCATCTCTGGGCCTGTCTTCCACTGCATGAAGATGAGAGGAGTGCTCTGTTTCGTACCGTCTGACTCTTCCTCTCTGTCTTCCTCTTGCATGATACTCTGCCTCAGTTTCTCTGGCCTGACTGAGGCTGTGCACCCTGGACACCCCTAAGTCTTCTTCTGTCCTTCCTCTTCGGGGATCTTCCGTGCTCCTCTCCCTACGGCGGATCTCTGAAGGCAGCACTGCCCTTCTGCTTTTCAGAAGACCCTCTGTTTTCACATCCTCTGTGTCAATCTGTTCCTCTCCAACCTGCTGCTGCTGTGAGCCTCTGGCTGTAGGACCTGTGGCCATGGAGAGGTAACTGGGGTATCCCACAACATCCTGTTCCCCTGTGTGCTCTAATCGGCTAAGCTGAGTCTGGGTAGGATGGTGGGAATAGGCAACAGTCAGTGGGGGGTCTTCCGGGTCTGCACTGAAGTGTGCAGCGGTCTGAGACTGGTGTTGAGCTTGTCTACGATACGCTGGAGCCTCCGTGACGTGTCCTGGCTCTCGACTTCGATGGCGGCCCTCCTCCCTGGCGATCCTGTCCCTAACTCTGATTCTTCAAGGGGAAAAAAGCAGGTTAACACCCGTAACACGTTCTTAGATAAAGTCTGGACCAATGGGAAATGTTGCCTAAAAACACAGCTCTTATCAGGCTAAATGTGTAATAATAGTAATGTAAGTGTATTCTTATAGTACAGTACATTGTTTTCAGATGCAACAATGAAAATCAACTTTTTCAAATATAACTCACCTGTGTAAAGTTTAATACATGCAGCTGTATATAAAACACAACAAATATTTTTTTTAGTGACAAGGGAAAAGGTTTAGTTTTTCATTTAGTTGCATCAAAAAGCAAAAACACATTTTCTGTGTGTTGTCCCAGTAAAGCCAAACATTCATTTACATTGGTTAAATGTTTCGATTTCATGGATTAACATTCTAGATGTAAATCATTATTCACTCTTCCAACTTCCCTATAATTTTGCAAACTGTGATATTTATGTTTTTCCAAACACTGTCTTCACATATGGATTAAATTCAACACAGCAACATGTTGAAGGGAAATTAATTTATGGTCCAAAGTGACGGCAAGAAGAGCCTGTGTGAGTTAGGGAGGAGGAGGATGATGGATGATCTGATGTCAGCTGAGTGTCAGCGCTCCAGAGCAAAGATTCTTAAACATGTACGCTCCCAATCAGCCAATCAGCTCAGGGCTTAAAACATGATGACAAATGATTTGTGGCTAACAAAGGAAACATTTAAGTCGTCCTGTCCTGAGCCCCTTTCTTCACCCACAGTACTTCCCCCGAACAAAAAGGCAAATATGGAACCACAGTTTTAGGGTTGCCAAATTTTACCAAATGTATGTCTTGACATTTGGAGCTTAAATGTCATTTTAAACTTGAAATCTATTTCTCAAATCTTATTTTGTTGAAATCTGTCTTTGTTCAGTTTCCAGCAGTGTGTCATGGTGACTCAGCAGAAAGGAAAAACGGCATAATATTTAAAGAGCTGTGAGAATCCAGAATCCAAGTACTTTTCACTTAACAATGTGTCACATTTGCTCAAAGAGAGTGACTGAAGCTGCACTGCAATGTTTTTAACCCTTTACTTTCAGAAGGATATTTAAAAACGCATGACTGTCAGTTTAAGAATCGTTGCTCAGAAGTGTTAATGACTGTTTGCTAAGCAGAGCCAAATTGTAACACAGCATGTAGCGGCGTACCAGCCTGGGTACCTTGAAGGCCAGTTGATAAGTGTGTTGGTGTCGCCCTCAGCATCAGTGTGGAGAAACCAATCAGTGTTCACTAATGTCTTCTCACTGTGCCGATAAGAAAGCCAGCGGGAGACAGGGGAGTAAGTAACTGGGTGGGTGCACACTGTAGGGGTCTCTCTTTGACGCTCGCACATGTCCACGTGCATGTTTTTTCACAGGGACGTTTGACTCAATCAGAACAATGGTAAAAGGTCTTAACTGAGGTTTTTTGAGGTCAGAATATATTCACAGAAAATGCCATTACGGTCACCCACATGGAAATTAAAAGCAGATGACTCATTCTGGTAGCAAACTGTATCATTAAGTAGGACATTTGACGGTTTGAATCTAAACAAAGGTACTTGAGTCACAAGCACAGGCAGCGAGAAGGAGGCTGTGGTCAGTTTTATAAAATGACATTTGTTTAAGTGCTCACGGCAGCATCAAGTTTAATGATTCCACTGAAAGATAAAAATGGAACAGACCTAAGTAGGTTAGACCACTGTGGTGCTGCAAGGTTACTGGCTGAAGATGAATCATCTTTTCAGTGTTTTGATGTAGGGATGTAAGGCTGTCTTCAACAAAAGACTCATTAAAAATCACAGACAAAGAACCGTCTCTGTTGTAATGAAACTAAGACCAAACTCCCAATAAAAAAATGTACAATCAATGTTTTGTCAGAGATGTGGTGAAATCTTTTTTTCAATTTCACCAGTGAAGCACAAGTATCCACTGATGAGACAGTGGACTCTTATTTTTATTATTTAGACTAATTAAACCTCATTGTTACAAAGCATTTTCTAAGTATAAGGATCTTCTTGAATCTTGAAGATGAACTCAGTGATGGTTTCGACATCATGAACTAAGTTGACCAGACTAAGACATTGGAGCAGAAACAACAGAGAAGGTAAAGAGGACATTTTTCTATCTGCTTGTTTCCTGTCAGGCCTCACAGATTGTGATCAAGCCCAGCTGTGGACCTGAGCTCTGACTGTAGCTTCACCTACTGTACCTACAGTTACACAACACCTTCACTGGTATACTGTTAGTATATAACTTTTTGAATCCTTTTTGAATAACTGTTCAACCAGGCAACAGAACAACAGTTCCAGAATGCTAATGTCCCAATAAGTCAAAGACTACTGTATAATTGTCAGTGGTTCTAAGAATGTCTTTTAAATACTGGTAATAAAAATCACACATCCCTGAGATTCAGTCTAACATTTACAGAGCAGGCAGACACCTTCAGTGGCCCAACACTATTTATAAAAAGTCTTTCTGTCTGAAGAAGATAAACTTGATTTAAGGGGATTCTACCATTTCCCTGTTATGGAACACCGTCAAACAGATTTTGAAGTGATTAAACTACTGCAAGCTAATAACCAAGTACTTAAGATTCTAATGGCAAAGAGCCAGAGGGTAGTTAATTCTTTGCCAACTTTAAATTTGAGACTTCATGCCTTTGGCAGGTAGTGTGTACAGTGAGCCTGAGCTGAGGCAATAAGTAGGTCTATAAAATATGATTAATAATAACTGACTGTTTGGGTTGGATAATAACAACGTGATTGAATGGTTTTACAACTGCCATCAAAACCACAAATAAACACCTGTAAATCCTAATACGCCTGTACTAAAATCTGGATTACAAAAGTGAATCTATTAGGTACAAACTTTATGCTCCGGTGGGAAAAGGCTGCCTGTTTCCTGATGGCTTCCTCTGACCACAAGACCTCAGTAAGTGATTATTAAAAAAAAAAACATCTCTGCCAGGTTTCCATTGGGATATCACCAAAAATAATAACAATAATAAATATAATTTTTTTCATGTATATCCTATCCCTACCTGAAACCCCAGAAATTCAAACATAACAAACACATTGTGTAATCATCTTTTCTGTTTATGTTATGAAAACAGCTGCAGGTCTCAGTGGGAGCTGCTGAATGCTCCAACATTATCCATGGACAAGCTTAGGTTTCCTGTCCTGCTATAAACCAACAATCCTGCCAACAGGCTGACCTTGGACATGTGTGGATGAGAATAGAGACAGACAGTCTGTCTGATGGATAACCCTGTCACATGTAATCGCTATATTATGGACACTGACACAACAGTGTTCCAAACAACACGACTCCAGATTCTTTCAAAACATATAAAGTTTTAAACGGTTGGTGTGGGGTATTCACGTTATATGTGCTACCTCGGGTTCTCCTATTCTATATACATGTAAGTGCACAAATATTCTCATGGAGGCGTGTTTGACACTTGATGCACTCATGCCCTCCTAAAATGCTAGTCTATTTCCTCATCTCTGCAGGAGAAAAGTCCACTGTGGAGAAAATGTAACTTGTTTAATCCACATTTTTAAAACATCAATCTTCTAGAGAAAAGTTTCACATCCAGTTGCCTAATAGAATTTTTCAACCTTGACCATGACCTGGATGACTTAGAATGAGAATCTTCATGGATATTTTTAAAACAATCTCAAGAAGAGAACAGAACAGTCAAGATGACAGAGGATAAAATAAACTTAAATGGAAATAAGAATTTTTTTTGGCAAGAATAAAGCCTGGGAAGTACCACCTGTGCTGTTTGCTGCTAATAAGGAAGCCAGAAACACAGTAAATGAGAAGGTCGGGTGTAAAGGACACAACTTGATAGTTAAAACATGAAATTTGGAAAAGGAACACAAAAGCTGCTCACCCTTGTCTGTTCAGGATACTGTGTGCTTGCTGCTCGATGAAGAGGTCTCCAGGAGACGCCCCGTGCTTGGGTGAAGACAGAGAATGGTGCCTGCTCAGCTTGGGGGAACTAGGTGGCATTCCAGAGACCGTATAGTCCCTAGCAGGAGCCCTGGGAGATGAGGTGACATCCAAGTACGAGGAGGACTCTGGTTCAGGAGGCGCAGCTCTGCGTTGATTCTCCAGGTTCATCAGCCTCTCTCTCTCTGAGAAGGAGTCTGCTTTGGATAGACCCCTCTCGTACGTGGGGTCGGGGAGGTCGTGCTGTGGTGCCGTGCGAGCAGGCCTTGGGCTCGTGACAGAGGTGCTGGCGTGAGAATTCAGTGGCGGCTCTGACTCTTTACGGGCACGGGTGTAGCGAGCCGAATGGTCCAAGTCTGGCTCATGATCCAAGGAGATGCCGTAGCGTTCAGCCAGTTGACGGCGGCGCTCTGCTTTGTAGCGGGCAATGCGCTCAGCCTTGGACTCCATCACTTGGCCAGTAATGTGGGAGCCTGAACTGTATGAAGCATCTGTGGGGACGGGCGGCTGAGGGTCCGGCCGTCTTGGCTGCTGCTCCAGTGCAGTCAGCTGCATCTCTGGGCTTTCTATTTCATCAACACCAAATCTCTGGACTGTTACTGGAAGACGCAACAAACACAACAACTCATCAGTTTAATATACAACTCAAGAACACCAAGGACAGGGATAACGAGAGTCTTAATACGTCTCACCACCAAAGGGTTCACAGGGGTCATTAGCCCTTGTGTATCGAGGTGTATCCTCCTCTAACAGCCGGTTGGCCACCAAGCTTGGCATAAGTGACGGATGCATGTCGCCCTCTATACCCTCCAACCGCCTGGCGATACGCTCTTTTCTGTGCATAAAAAAAGAAGCAAAAAAAAAGCAACTTAAACATCATGTATAACTATCGTCCATGTAACACAATGAACACACGGTTCATCTCACATTATTACCTGTTCATTTCCAAGTTGCTTCTGCTTGTGGTGATGCCTTCGAAACGTTTTCTTAATTCAGAGACTTGGAAAATAAAGAATAGAAAACAGAAACAAGGACTTTATAATTATTGCTTTCAACAGACAACAGTCTTAATTAAGCACATTATACAATTTTCTTATTAGAATATTAAGAACCCACTGCTGCCCTCATCAATCTGTATAATATTAGCTTCACCTTACAACATTTCGTCGTTATGTCTGGCCGCGAGAGAAGTGTCTATTTTTAGGTGGTACAAATATAGTTGTGTTTTTTAAGTACTTTGAATGTTTTATATAAATAACATCATGACGATGATTTGTTGATAATAGCTCCCAGATTTCTAGTCCTTTGTCATTTTCTCTCTGTGCACAGCATTACAGTACATTATATTAATTGAGATTGAGTTTTACAATTTAAAGGGGAGAAAAAAACAAGCAGGATGTCACAGCTAACACTATAAACAACAGAAATTTAGCAGAAAAGCACTGCATTGCTGATGCATGTAGTGGGTCCCCAGTAGAATATCCCCTCAATGCCTTTTAGTGGGCAACGGTATTGATATGTGTGGTGTGTTCATCAGCAGCAATGTCGTCATCTGCTTGCATTTTCTATTTTTCCTTTTTATCAGGTACAAATTCAGGCAGTAAAAGTTGAGAGTGGAAAATTGGCCTCATAGATGTCACAGCCATGTAACTTCAAAGCCTACCAGCTGCCATTAAGACCCAAGGAAGAAGAAGTGGGTCAGGGGACTGATCTTTTCTGCCAGTTAATCTTGGATAAGCCTCAAAGAATGACTATTTACAGTAGCAAAAGTCTTTTTGTGTGTGTGTGTGTGTTTTTGTGTTTGATGTAGCCTACAACAGCATTGGCAGTATCTAAAGAGTTTTTTTTTATGTTTGACATTTTTAAGTAAAATCACTTAAGAAATTGTTGTCTCACATTTTACGATGCTAAAAAGAAATATCCTGTGTGAACAGGTAAAACTTGGCATGGACAAACTGATTTAATGACATGAATCATCCAGGTGAAGAACCTGCTGGTTCACAAAACCCAGCTGAGATTACGTGTGTTAGAAATTAATAAGAAAGGAGAAACTGTGACCCACCTTTAGGGAGATTTCCCAACAAACTGGCATCGATATCTTTAGTATTTTTTGCTGGGTCGTCTAATTCGTCGTAGGAAAATTCTTTCTGGAAACTGAGAAGGAAAGAAATAGAGTTGTATTAGCAGTGGGAAAGTGAAATTGTTTTGTGGATCAGGTAACTCATCCATGACTGATCATGATGATTCTAAAGGTACATAAAAAAAACAAAACAGGAAGTGTTTTCCAAAGACAACAGTGTGTTCTTGGGATAATCAACTTTTATTTGGAAAAATACCTAAAAACATTCAGATAAACAAAGATTTGATTTTTTTTTGTGTGTATTAGACTGATTAGGCAGCAGATTAAGGCATGGTCATGCAGCTACGTGTTGCATGAATAATGTCTATGACATTTTAAATTAAGTGCATTGGGAAATAAAATCCACATTCACAGGATAATAAATGTGTGGAAAACATTCCTTGTGAATTCATCTGTATTTCTTTCCTGTATTTCTTGTATTTTTTGCTAACTTCAACGTTTACTCGATTACAATGGTGTCTAAGAAAAAAAGGAGAAAAATGCATGTGTCAGCAGATTTTTCCCCCCGCTATGTAATGAATTTAATCTCCCTCTCTTCATTTGTGCCTCGTGGCAATAAATCAGCATTCCCACAAATTCTGACTGGTCAGTGGGCAAAGCATCAGCCCACAGATGATCTCATTTGTTTGTGGGATTTGCATTACCATCTGAACATTAAGTAGAAAATGATGTGTTTGTAGTCTCTTCAAAGACATTCTGGACGTCTGGAGTATTAGTTTATACTCCAAGTGAGCGGGTACTCGCCACGATAGATCTCTTTTCCAACGGTACCCCTCGCCGATGTCAACATGTCACACATGGCATTACTATGGCATCATCATTTTCCAATTATCTTTTACAAGAGCCAAGTTGTTTATTTACACACCACGTCTTTAAGAGAGGAATCTAAATAAGTGTATTCAGGCATTCATTACCTCAAAGCTCTCCTCTGCAGAAATCTGGGATTGCTTTGTTTTATAGGGGGCTCACTCACAAGTCCTGTGGGCAGAAGAGCAGAAAAACATTCAGTCATGTTGCGCTTTAATTCATTAAAAAAACGTATAAGTTCCTTTAGCCTTAGCATTTTAACGACCTTTAACCAGGCATCTTTAGGCAAAGCAGACCTGCAGACAGCCTGTCTGCAGGTCTGAGGCACAGACGCGAGACGATTAATTAAATTGACTTCCTCAGAGAAAATAAATGATGTGGAAAACAATTACTATTAGCCTGGCCGACTGAATCACTCCAAACAAGTGGTGATCCCGGCAGACATAAAAAAACTGACCTTTTAGAAGTGTCAAGTAATTAAAAACAAAAAGTTACATTACATTCCCAAATAGGAAAACCGAAATGGAATTTAACAAGATTTTATAATTGCTTTTTAACTTACAACAATTAAGGTATTGGAAATTAAAATGTAAACTACCATTTACTGATAATTGATATGTCAAACAATTAAGTGACAATTACTTTGTGTTAAGTTAAGAAACAAAATATACATTCAATATATTAATAATGTGATCCTGCCTTCTGACTACAGTCTCACCCTGTTTTGTGTAGTATGTTTTTGTAGCTTCAAGACTGTCTGTCTGAAATACACATTTTTTTACTTCAGACTCATTCTGGTCTTCTGGTCTACAGCCAGAGCAGAATGAGCCTGAAATGCTTCAGTGCGAAGTCATCGGGCAGCATTGATACACCCAACATGAATACAGATCAGAAACAGCATTAGGAGACAGAGAAGCTTTTTTCTATTAGCCAAACCTCACAAACACTGTGGTGCAGTGGTGTCATAAAACGCTGCTAGACACGAGGCTGATCCTAATAAAACACAGTATTTATTAAGTAACAGCCAGAGTCAATAAACAAACAAAAAAAGTGATAAATACCTGTCTACAAAGATATGAAGTCTTGTTACCACCGAAGAAGAATAGCAAAGGGGCTAGGCGTTGATGAGTATTACGCATCATGAGCTGTTCTGAGAGGATTTTAATTTCTGCGAAGCATCTCTTTAGGAATGCTGACGCCTCTTTCACTGATTCACTCCAAACATTTCATGTGTGGTTTAGGTTGCCCTCAGACCTCAGTGTGGTCACAACTAGGGTCAGACACAAACATGTGATCCCATTTCCAACTCCCTTCCTCCAAGTTCACCTCAGGGCCACGTGATGCCCTTCAACACCCCCCGACCCAGAGTTACTCCACCCAAATCCCTTAAAGCTATCACTTGGAAGCTGAAAACACTCAGTGACCCGCTTCACACCAAGACCACGCTTCTAGAAGCATTGGTTAACACTTAGGGTGTTTGGGTTGATGCTTCAAATCCCTTTGACTTAATGAAAACATCATTGGTAGAGAAGAGGTTCGTTTGGAGAAGAAGGCGTGTCCATCTGTGTGGAGGACTCTTCCTGTATTTTTTCAGCTGTGTGAAATACAGCTGGTAAAAACACTGAGCTCATTTCCTTCAGGCTCTGAATTATGATCCAGGTTATCTGAACTTGTGTTTGCTTTTACAACTGACTCGGTGTAAGGTCAACACCGGTGTCATGCATACTTTGAAGTACACAAAATATGAAATAAATTCTGTTTCCGACAGACACCTACTGCAACCAGAACCATATCTGTGTTATATTAAAGAATTTACTCTGAAACATAAACTTCACATTTATCATCTGCGACAGATAGCCACAGCCAAGACATGCTAACGCGCCACAATAATTATTGTGTTCAGGGTTAGTGAAACTATTCATGGATTACATAAATCTTGTTAGCAGCATCTTTATGTAAAACAAATGACCAAATTCCAAACACATTGAAAACTCAAAACTATATGATATATTTGTCATGATTTTACCTTTGTGAAATAACACACTCGTTACAACATTTACAAAATACAAGAAAAATAGCTAACACCTTACTTTTGCTAAATAAATTTGTACAATCCATTATTTAAAAAAATGCTCTATAAAATAAGTATTTTAAATGTTGAATTATTCATTATAATTGCAGGCGTTACTGTGCAAGAGTCATGCTGACATTTTTAGCATTTTACCTGTTTTATTATTTTATTTGTAATCATGTTTGAAAGCACTTCCAAATTGATCACTCTATGATGACTCTGGGCTCCCAGCATGCCGACTCATGCAGGAGTCCAAAAGAAATGTAACGTGTCAATTAAGCTGTACTTTGGCATCATGTCTTTACACGGTATATAAAAGCTAAGAAACTAAAGACGTCCCATGGACGGCTCATATGTCCAAGTTGGGACACAGAATTACCTTTCCCATCCAATTCCTGGGATTACAGCGAGCTGAAAAAGGGAGCGTGTCGTTCTTTAACTGTCTGCATTACATCACACCTCACATGCATGTGTAAACACGCACCTACTCCACTGTGCCGTCTCCGCAGCAGCTGAGACAGAGTTTGAAAGGTTTGCTTTACAAAAGGACACATTTGTGTCGTTATATTCAAACACTAACCTTAACACAAGTAAAATCTACTAAACTTAGAAACAGATGAAACAAAAGAGACATTTAAATTTACTTCCTTTAAAACAAAACAAAAAACTCTGTGCTCATATAAAAGACACCTGTTGTGGACTCCCAGCCAAGAATTGAAATGCCAAAACTCAAACATTCAGCTCTCACTCTGAAACTATTACAGTTAAAAAGTTGGAAATATGGAGCGTTTAAAGAGGAGCATGTGTTGTATAGTATGCTGTTGTGTTGATTTAAAATGATTTGTCTTAGAGGTTGTACACACCTTCACTGGTTTATATATAAATAATAAAACCCTTTTGCACGAGAAGATGATTAGGTAAAATAGATCATTTGTTGTATTGATGTCTGTATCTGGCTCACAATTGTCAATGAGGGGCCTGAAAATGTTGACTTTTTTTGGACCGCACCTGACTGGCAGTCCCAGTTAAAAACAGACCATGATATTAATATGATCACAACTCTGAAATGAACATATCTAAGGGTACAATTGCAGTGAAACCAATCTCTGATAATCTGTGAAGTTGTTATCGCATTATCCCATTTAATGGGCACTCCAACCGCTGCTTAACGCAAGATTGCCTTTGTGCGAATAACTAAACAAAGACAGTGACGCTATGTGGTTCTGTGGATTGCAAGCGAACAGTTATTGGGTTTCTAGACGTCAACAGAAGCCAAAAAAGGACTTCACTCAACCCAGCCTTCAGTCGACTTTAAATATCAAGACAACAGATTTATGCTTTTCATGATGCATTCTGTTAAATGTGGTTATTAGAAGAATTTACAGCCAAACCTAATATTACAAACCCTTACCCTGACTGTTCAGTTGGTGAATTAGCTGCAGTAAGGTTCAAACTTCTGCACCTGATAGAATGTTAGTTTGTTTTTCAAATGCAGACAAGTGATGACTGAACATAAAAACACATGGTTCTTGTGGGTGTTCACTTTCACATGCATGTCAATAACACTAAAAAATATGTCAACACCTGCATTTACTCAAAAAAATCCAAGTCAAAGGTTCTGTGTATTACAGAAATAGCTGCAATCCTAATTGTCAGCCTCACTGCCAAGAGTCCCCTTATCTCTGTAGTGTCCTTGAAGGCAAAGGCTGCAGTGAAAGGACAGCTGATAGAACAGAGGGAGAGTAAGTAGAGACCAGGAGACTCTGCAGTTTGTTGGATGTCAACTTTTTAACAGTTCTATTCATTCACAGACCTTCAACCTGTCCAGGAGCTTCCATTCAGAGTTTTACATTTCAGCATTCCCTAATCAAATAGAGTCCCTTTCTTACCTTGGCTGCAAAAGTTGACATGATTCAGGTAATTCGAGATCCAAGTGTTCCCGTACATTTTGGCAGCAACACCGGTGCAGAGGGTGAGATGAAAAAAAAAAAAGGTGCTGCTGAAAGAATGATGCAGCAACAAAACAAAAAGAAACGTCTGACAGTGATTCAGAGAGTCAGGAAATGTGAGGGAGGCAGAGGAGGAAGGGGAGAAAGAGAGGCAGGTAGAGAGAAGGATAGAGAGGTCCCAGCCGCAGTGACGGAGCAAGCAGAGGTGTTTCTGGTAGGCAAAGAGAGGAGTGGTGAGATGGTAGCTGCAGCTCTGCCCCCTCTCACATCCACTCCTCTCTGGTTCCTCCTAAACCACAAGGCATTAACCACTGCTCACTACGACAACCTGCACAACTTAAAGCTGCTCAACCGGGTTAAGCTTATTTGCAAACTACTGTAGGCTCCATCCCTGCTACAGACAGATGAGTGAGCATGCAACAGAAGGAGCGACAGAGGCACAGAGAGGAAAAGAGAGAAAGAGAGAAAGAGAGAAAGAGAGAGAGAGAGAGAGATTGTTAAATGGGTCCTGGGAGGGTTCTGCCTTCCCCTGGCTCACACACTTGAGTAGAAAGCCAAAAGAAACCGTCGCACAATGTCAGAAAAAAAGGGGAGGTGGTCGGAGTCGAGGGGAGTGGAAATAGAACGAGCAGGAGTAGAAGGGGAAAGTTAAAAATCATTCTCTCGAACAGACGCAAAATTCCAGGCTTCTCTCAGCAGGGACAAAATAAAAGGTTCAGCATGGTGAGAAAGAAAATAGGCTGGAGTGAGGGTGAGAGGGGGTGAGAGAGGGGGAGCAAGAAATTTTAAAAAAATGGAGATTTAATTGTCAGGAAAGGAGTAGCACTCGAATGGCCCTAGAATGTTATGATCCAGGTTATAGTCAAGGGGCAGTTATTACTGTACATTTGCCCCAAATCTGCAGTGGCAATAATTAAGTAGCAGCACTCTGCTGTTTGTTAATGTATATAGTAGAAATATAGTGTATATATTTACAAGCTTCAAACCTTTAAAAAAAGTATTTAGTTGGCTGCAGAGACAACATAAAAAAAAACCTTAAATCTCACCAAACAGTTTCTTGGGCAACCAAAGACTGTGGAGAATAGTACAAAAAAAAAGGAGGAAATCATGTACAGTGTCTGAAGGGGTGTGACTACTTGCTTTTCACTGTATGTGACCATGCAAAACACCAAGGATCATCCACCCAAGATCAACTGCTTCCTCTCCAACCAAGCAGAAAGATTAGATAGAAATATTAAAGTGTTAGTCACGAAACAGCAGCAACGTGATATTAGATAGATAGGGGGAAAGTATTTTGACTGGTTCACAGATACTTACTATGAATACACATAAAAAAATGGTTGTTTTGCATCCTTGTCAAACACAAACAAAGCCTCTGAGTCACGGTGCATGTAAATCCCACTCCTTACAGGAACTGAACCAAAACTAGACAATTAGAAGAAACACACAACACACCTCAGCCATAGATCAGTGTGATGTTGACATGCTTATCATTGCTTTGAGGAGGGGGGGCTGAGCGGGGTGGCAATGGGCCCAACACTTTTTTAGACCCTGCTGGGAGAACAGTACACAGCATCTTATCTTTGTGCAGCATACAGAGTGAGGCTGTCGCTGCCAGTTCCACAGACATTGACATAAAGCAGAACGGTGGATGGAGGCTGTCACAATGGACCGCTTTTTTTTTAACAACGCTTTAAGCACAAAGAGCCCGCTGCTTTTTGTGTTGTGTACCACACATACATGGAAAAGCACAGAATTGCAGCCACGACTTAAAATCAGTTGAATTTATAAAATGCTTGAATCAGGGTTTAAGCACGTGACCATGAATCATGACTCGCAACCATGACTGAATTTTCCCATATTTGGACTAGAGAGATCCACCCAACCACCCAACCACCTAACCATCCATCCATTCATCCATCCTTCACAACAGGCACTGGAACAGTTGATAGGGCTAATCAGCCCTCAGCATTGATGTCAGACTCTGAGCCCTGAACCAAAGAGGTTCATGTCAGTGCTATGTGTCTCTTCAAACAACAATAAACTACAAGCAGCACCAAAATATTAGTTATATTGCAGTATATATTGTAGCTGGATTAAAAATGGCCATTTTCAAAACATGGCAGGTGTTTGATTTTAAACAAAGATTTTGATTAAACCATTCAAAACAGGTGTGATTGAGCAGGGAGTTTTTATTACCGTCTACCCTCTGGCAGTCTGACTTGCACTGCAGTTATTTGTTTCTATGACTCATTGGCAACAAGGGTGACTTCACACCGTTACTGCCTTGTTATTAGCAGCGCTGAGTCTTTTCACTGTGATGTTTGGACAAGACTCTGCTGATCTCTAAACCGATGCAGGACCACCGACTGTTCTCAAAGTCGTAGTTATTGTAACAACGATGCAATTGATGCCTTTGAAAGGCATGAAGACAAATGATACAGAAATGTAATATTACTTTTTGCACTTGGTGCAAAATTATATAAAAACATTTTAATTTGGCTGCATGACTCAAATGTTTTCTTCCATGTTAAATGTATGATTTAATATGAATCTCTCCAGGAGTTTGGAAACTGGGAGTAGATTTGAGTTTCCTCTTCAGGAAGACAGACAAATTTTACCCAATAGACCTACGTTTGCCTGTGTTTACTGGCAGACATCAGTCTGTATGAATAAGAATGAATGCCTCTGGAATTCAACAACCGCCCCATTTTTGTTGTTTTTGAATTTTAAAATGGTGAAATCAACAGAACTCAGAAAAAAATGTGTAACTTACGATAGTTAAATCATTAAGGATTTCAACCCAAATTGGAAGCATTAACAATAACACCCTCTGCACCAAAAATAGGCTTAGGAATGATTTAGGAATGATTTAACTGTGTTAGCGTCAAGTCAAACAGAGACATGAAAGCACGACAAACCAGGGAACTGAAAGAAGAAAACAATCGACCCAGTCAAATTCTGGAGAAACAAAATGTTTGTCCATGATTCTTGTGCATCTGGAATTTCAGGAAGAACTAGAGCAGAGTCAAGGAAGACCAAGCTTAACTAATATAACATGTGGTTCTTTAATGGAAAAAAAAACTTCAACATGTTTATTAAAAAAACTCTCTAGGCTGCAAATAAACAGAAATAGTTTGATAACTGTCTTCAGAAATTCTTTGTTTTTTTAACTTCAGTCGTGGAAACTCTACATCATTTGACAAAAAGCAATAACAAAACAAACAGCAACTCTCAGTAAATATAAGAATATCTTCTTGATCAGTGTTTAAAGAATTTTAAAAATGACTTCAACAGCACTGCGAATCGACCGTGTCTTGGAATAACAGAGCCACACCTCTCCGCTAATCATCCCACGAATGTTTCGTCATCTCCAAAATCAAACTCACATGTGCAGCCAGCCAGTGGGTCATTATTAGATAAACACTTCCACATTTGGACTTTAAATGACCTCGAGCGCTCGGGCAAATTGACAGCTCTGCTCAAAAGGACACAAATAAAAACAACTGCAGAGCCATCCTGCTCGGGAAATCGTTTTGCAAAGAGAGCGACGACGGTGAGATTGTCGGAGAGTTTCAGTGAGACTTGTGTCTCCTTCTCTGGTCTTTTTCATAGCCCTTTTAAAAATAAGGTCCAGATTTATGGTGTCCTCAAGGAAAGATATCGGTCTTTCCAGACGAGAGTGAGGCAGAGAGATACAGCGTCCCTGCAGACACATAACAGACCCGGAGCCAATGCAGCGTGACCATAAATTGTCTTCAGGGAGGGTCTAAGGTAAAGATATTCATATGCACAAGTAACGGCATTTAGTGGAAGGAAAGTCCGAGCCTGGAACAACATGTCCAACGTTGTTTGATGTCTTTCGTGGGATTTCAGTAAACAGACAGTTAGAAATATACTCAGACAAGTTAAAGAAAAAAGGATAACAAGTGAAAATATATTCTATAAATTACAAATAGATTCCAAAAGTAGATAGTATTTGTAAATTCTGTCCTTGGTAGACGTGTGTTTCATTCAAGCCTCAGGTTTAGGTGTGTTTCTATCACATAGCAGCAAAAATGGAAGTATTGTAGTAGTTAGAGGTTTTACCCCTAACACTGTTTGCATCCACCGCAGTAAAAGCCCCATTAGGATTTGCAAATTACCCCTGTGGACTCACAGCTGGAGTCAATCCCACCTTCACAAAGATTGGCCGATACTGAAGCACAGACCTTTTTACTGGGGCTTGCCACCTCCTGAAAATTTTTCCTGTCTGTTTATTCATCCTTCAACACCACAGGATGTACTACGAAAATATTTTTTTAACAAGCAGAATACCAAACTCCCTACCAGAGTACAGACAATGATGTCTGTACAGCTTCATCTGGATTATGACAGTGTTGAATGCATTTGTTTAAATGTCACTGCACATTCATTCTCCTCCGATCGGGAAGTGCCCGATTGATAAAGTGACCTTTGCAGTGTCTGGTCAGACTCCGTATGCATGTGTGGGGAGTGGTGTGAATGTGGTCGGGGGGGTTTCCAACAACTAAAGTTAAGAAATGAATCACTGATTAAAGATTCTTTTCCCATTATCCAATGTTCACTGTATTCCAGCTGACTGACACAGATGTTCCCTGACTAATCTGATCTGGTTTGATGTCTAACGATGGAAAAAACAGAAGCTCAACATTAAGTGAATATTCTTCTTAGCTTCACATAGTGGAGCTAGAACCTGACTTGGAAAAAGACAACACAACAGCAAATACCTTTGCCCCAGGTTCCGTGCATTATCAGATTTTGGATGATAAGTTGAACTGGACTTTTTCCATATCCATGATTATATATATGATTCACTTGCGAGAGAAATGCATTAGTCAATAAGGTACCATCTGTTAATGAATGATCACATGACCCCTGAGGGAAACGACACACCTATAATGATGAGAAATGTCTGGTTGATACAAAAGCCTGGGGGACAGCTCTACACACTCCATTGAAGCTGTGCTTCAGGGTGACACACACACACACAGATACGCAAAAAGAACACATCTGGTTAGGTCAAAAAAAAAATCTCCATCAGTAGAATTCTTCATCGATCTACTTCCCTGCCAAGGAATTCATTTCCATTTACAGGCGTGGGGACGACTTCCCAAGAGCTGTCTTTCTTTTAATATGTGGACATATTAAAACGAGCTGGTGGAAAGCTTGGGACTCTCCAATGACAAGGTGAGGCGAGCCAGCAGGGTGTAGGCTGCCATTGGTGAACTAAACCAAATGTAGCAGTAATGATTCTGGGCCTGGCTGGATTCACCTATTTCCAATAAGTTTCAACTCAGAAAATGAAGTGAGTGCACCGATGTTCAGCCAACGAAGCTGGATTGATTATGTAACCCTAATTTCTTGATGTCCTGCCCCTGAACACAATCCTCAGCTACATCAGTCTGTGTTTTCTTTTAAAAGAAAAAAA